GGAACAGCTAGGCAATAATTTCCAATTCAACTTCCTTTTCTACATCATTAGTTTTAGAAAGGGTAGTTTGATTTCCTAAAAGCACCAGCTGTGACTTTAATGGTCTAAAAAACAATGCTTCCTCTAAATGTGTGCAACAAACCACCTTGTAAATAGTATTTCATTGATAAGCAAATACACCCTGGAATATACATCATTTGTTGTTTTAAAATATATTTTCTAAGCCTGGGATCATTATTTCTGGTTATATTTTGACTCATTTCAAGTGGCTCTTCATAGGATGGTTACTCTATACAAATTAGTTTTTGGCATATCAATACGAAACAAATAGGTTTAAGAATAACCTACTCCAAGACTAAATTCTTAAACCATCCCACCAGCATGCAGCATCTGGCAGCAACCAAAAATTGGATCTGATAAATATTCTCTGGGAAAGGTGCATCTGACATTCAATTTCCAGTTTAAAGGTTATCCTTAATTTTTTTCTATTATCCTTCTCTTTGTATGCAGACTGAATGTAAAGTTTCCTTCTTCCAAAATCAGTCTAGAGGAGTACATATACAAAAACCAAAACAAACCAATGAAAAAATAGATTTAATTCCACTCTCTGCAACGTCACTGTCACATAAAATATCAACAGGCTATCTTACCACATGGTCGTTGTTCTCATTTTTGATGGATTAACCTTCTCAGGCGGATTATAGACCTCAAGCTCAGGCAGCACCTTGACTGGGAACATGGAGGAGTCTGAGCTGGCATACTCTACCCCCCCAAGCTTCCACTCTCCCCCAGGGGTCACAAAAACACTGCTTCCACATACATTATAGTGTATCAGTTTTCCGTCATTGTTGAGGAAGCTGAGGCCTTTCTGTATGGGAAAAATTGTATATCTAATCACTTTTCAAAAAGTTTAATAGTCTGTGAAGAATAAAATGACGTCTCATGTTCATCCTACAAACACCATGGTAAATTTGTAATAAAATTTCAGAAAAACATGATATGAAAAATGTAAAGGTTTCTGTAATTTGGTTCTTTTTTAGTTTTTTCTTGACAGACACATATCTTCACATTTTGGAAAGGTGTTTTAATCTTATAGAACAGTTACAAGAAATCATACAGCAATTTTGTATCAAAAATAAATGACTAAATCAAGCAGGAACAATATGTGAAAAATACATACTGTGACTTGCAAGAGCCCCCAGGACACGGCATTGGTGCGGTGTGATGGACTAAGGGCACTATCTTTCAACCAGGTCAGGAGTGGTGTTACGGGCTCAGTCACCAAATACACCAATTTTTCATTCTAAAAGAAATGACAGTGCATTAGACCTCAATAATTAACCTTGGAATCAGCATCAAAATAATTTTCAATTGTTCTTTTATCAAATCTCTCACTACTCCTCTGGAGTTTAGGTTAATGGAAATTTTACAATAAATCTGCAAATATGTAAACACTGATAAAAACATACATACACCTTACCTCAAGACTGTCAATGTAAGTGAGTATACATGGATGACGGAGAGTTTTCAACCTCTTTACTGCTGCTTTTGCAATGTCAAGTTGCGCTGTAGTGCCATCTCTGCCCTCACATATGAACACACTCACTTCATCTCCATTTTGCTGCAATATCAAAAGAATCATGAGTCCATATCTTCAAAAGTAATGATTTCATAAGACTAAATCATTCTTTTTAACATAACTCCTTCATGTAGTTTCTCTGTATCTTACTACAACAGTATCATTATCTAACGATTTCTCATTCATTTTGCCAAAGCATTTGGTGTGCATAATTTTGTATAATTTTCTACTTAAAATGTATTCTAAAAAAGTAATTATAGCTAATCTTTCGCTATATCAAAACCTAAGAAAAAGAAAAAGTTTATTAAACTTTTTCAAGCACTTTTTTCTGTATTTAGCAACAAATTTCTGTTGCTATATATGTAACTATTTAATATATTTTTGTTTAAAACATTTGATGTATACAATTCTATATAATATTCCAGTCATACATATGAGATAATAAATAAAATCAATGGTTATCGATATATTACTTCTTTCTTCATATAAAACCTAATGAAATAAACAAAAACTTTCACATAAGTTATTTCAAAATATAAAACTGTACATTGCCACTAATACGAACCAAGGCCTACTGGAAAATGAACATCCAGATTACATAAAGACTGTTAAAAGGGAACTATTTCTAAAAAACCTACAGCAGGACCTGGACCTGCATAATTAAAAACATATTAAAACTGTGAAGTTTCTGATAAGTTGTGTAGCTTCAATACTCTTTATATCTGTCATTTCATATTCAATGCTTTGCTATCTATTAATGAACTGACTGCCTCATAGATGAAACTAATCTTTAGGCTATGAGAATCAAAGTTCCTCTTTTACTTCCATCACCCGCAGGTCCAGATAACACATGCCCAAAAATTTCATTATTTTCAATAAGTTTCATTTCATTATTTCCCCAAAAAATATGATTTGATGACTTTGAAAAGCTGTTCTCCTGTCATGTTTATTGGATAGAATACTTTTACTACTAAATATTGAATGAAAAGTGTCATGATTACTTGCAAGAATTAAGATGATGATTTAATGACTTTGAAAAGCTGTTGTTCTTTTCTTTATATGCTTGTAGAAAAAATAATGGATAATGAATAATGAAAAATAGCCTCATCAGTTTTCATTCTTGTGGCCTTACAAGAACAAGTACAGTCTTTACAGCTCCTTTGCAAAATTAATCTATACACTACTGAAAACTTTTAGTTAAAAATCCTTAACCTTTAAACTATGATGTCTATATGAGATATCTATTAGGTAGACAGAAAATTGGAAAATCAATGAAATTAAAAAATATCAATAACAAAATTAAATCACTATAATGTCATGCAAATGACACTTTATGTGATTTCTATAGGATTCAACCCTCTAAAACTTTCTAATCAAAGGGTTCTATCAAAGTTTCCTTAGATCTAGCAGTATCAACCAATGCGACCATGACAGCAGCACACTGTCAAAAAGTACCTACACCTTCTACACTTACGGCAACTTGGCTATGGCAAGCAAACATCCCTCATCTGTGTTCCATTGGACTGATTCATAACAGAAAAATATATCTCCAGGGAGGCATACAATCAATGCTTTCATTGGATTCTGTGTACTATACACATAATATCAAGATGATACACCATGAAATACAATCTGTCAGTACCCACTTCATTTAAATCAGAACTGAACTGCTTTAGAACAGAATTACTGCTAATCCTTTGAAATTCACAATAACCTTCTTTTTTTTTTTTTGTATTTGTTACCAAGAGCGAAACACCCTCTACAGACTAAGTCCCAAAACCAGGGTATCAGGCTAACCCAAAAATCCAACCTAACCTTTCCTACCTTCTATCTATTCCCTAGACAGGGGGGACCGCACCCCCCATACCCCCTCCTTTTTTGGTACTTCATGCCAACTTATTGAAAACGGGACATCGTAAACTCTGGCTGTGAGGGTGTTGTGGACTTAATCCCTAAGCGGTGATTTGCAGCGGATATTTTCGTAATTTTGCAGTAAATATAAGGTCACTGCAGCTATACTTGCGTTGGTCATGACTATTTTTTATGCTCTATAAGTCAAATGTGTCCATTTCCCTCTCTCTCTATGCATCGTACCCAGTAACATTAATCTTCTTTTTGAACTGTACATCTCTGAATGCAGACTTTACCCTCTCCCAAATGGTATATTAAAAGGAAAAATATTGCAAAACAATAAAAAGCCAATAAAACACAAAGAGAAGAGTCACAAAGAAAATGAGAAATCATCCCAATTGACAGTGACTATGACCCTTGACAGTGACACTTGACAGTGCCAGTGTCAATCATCTCATTACCTTTTTCTTACCACGGTGTATCTTCCACACAGATCTCGTGTGCTCCACAGCCTCCCCAATTTCATAGGCAAAGGAGCTTGTTGGATCACGAGAGAATAATGACCACATTCTCGCCTCGCTGCCCTGAGCAAACGCAATTTATTGGGGAATTTGGGGTCTTTGTTTCCTCTGCAAGGCCTGGACTTTTAACTCTGGTGTTGATGAGTTGTTTTGCACTGCCAACACACTACACAACAAAGTCAGGCTCGTGGGCTAGCTTCTGTCGATTCGTTAGGGCTTATTTGGGTATGATTTCATTAATTTTGCTTGTTTTTAAGGGAACTTGTAACTTTTTATTTAAACTTTACTCATTTTCACTATGAAAACATGCTGATTGTTTGTTTAAAACGATGGAAATTTATATTTCCTATTGTGAAGGATTATCCAAAATGAGTCTAGCGACGATCAGCTGTCAGAAGTTAGAGAAAACGGAACTATTAATTGTATGATAGACTCACTTATCCTGCTTTGTAATTTGCTAATAAGATTTGACTCGTATAAAATAAACACGTGCTTTTTCTCCCTTTCTGTGTGTGTCTTTTGTGTGTAAGCGTGTGTGTGTGCGTGATTGTGTGCGAAATGCCAACGATGGGATGAACAAGAAAACACGAATATGCCGAAGGCCTTTTCGCTTACTGCTTCATCAGGGAATACATGATAAGGTACATAGAGTTGTATGTATACGAGTACTAGGTGGTCAGGTCACGTCGGCAATCGGGTGTGCGGCGACCTTGGATAATTCGTGGCTCCCCGTTGCGGTGTAGTTGTTCATTGTATGGATGATCGCAGCTTCTACCATCTTCACTGTGTCTTGGGGCAGGCCTTGTTTTATAATAGAGGCCTGAGGCCACTTTGGGAGGTGGCCGTCGGTGTCGACGTTAACAACGAAGCAGCTCCTCGTGTCATGAAGTCGCAGAACGCTGCATTGTTGATTGATTCGTTGCTCGCGAAGCCCTGGTGCTGTCTCAGCTATGTAAACTTTATCGCAGTTAACGCACCGTATGCTGTACACCTGGCTAAAGGGGCTGTTGTGGTCTGACCTCTTTTCTCTTGATATTTCTGATCTTGCCTGAAGTCGTAGCTATCTCTTTAGTGTGGCACACCAGGTCTTCCAGAGACCTTGTCTAGCGGTTGCCATTTATCAAACCACCGATATGATGGCCAAACTGCAAAACGTCGGCATGAGGCGTGAAAAGCTCGCCAGTTTCGACGTCAAGGTGCTCTGTACGATCGACGGAGCCATGGACGAGGGGGAACTACTATTACGACTATATTACACTCATCCGTCTCTGTGGGGAGTTTGCCCGTTTGAATTCCGAGGACGTGAACATGAACTTGCGATGGGCTGAACTCTTTCAGTTGTTCTTATCCAGCTGTTCATGGAAACCCTTGAGGCTAACCACTACCGTAACATCGTGGGAAGGAACGTCGTCGACATGAATTCTGCATGTGATTGTGTGCGCGTATGCGTGATTTTGTGAGTGTGTGCGCGCGCCTGCTCGTCTATCTACAGAGAACATTAAAGATTTATTGGGTGTATCATTGGCTTTAGAGTGAGTGAGTGAGTGAGTGAGAGTGTGTGAGTGAGTGAGTGAGTTTGTTATACTGTTAAAGAGAATGGTATCCATATGGATTCCTGCCGTTGCACATACAAACTTTTCCTGGTTTTCTGCCGTTGCACATGCAAACTTTTACTCCATTGTAATAATGCTTCATAATTACTATTGCCCATATTGTCATTAAAGATGTTGTAATAGTGAATATTCTCAATGCTTTTCCCTTCAGTGATCTTATTATCTTATTTTCTCTTCCATGTTCAATATAATTACCTTTATTACTGCTGCTGATCACATATCTATATATAATGCTCGAGTTCCAGTCTAAACCTGATCAATCAGCACTTTCTATTTCTTTTCTCATTCCCTTTGGATACCTTCCCAATGATTTTTTCTCAATGAGATATAGCCTTCTATAATCATATTTATCATATTCAGGACTATTATTGATAATCTCACTGACTGGTTCATATTTTCTGCACCTTCTTCATTGACTACATTTAAGAAAAATCTCGTCCAAGTTATTTGTGTTGTCTTAGAAGCTAAGGTATGATATTCCAGGATTTACTAATGTCAACAAAAGCAACATGCACAACAGTGTTGGGAACAATACAATTATAGTATTAATTAATTATGTTCTTTTATTATTATATTAATTATTTAGGTACTTCATCTTCACTCAAATTTATTGCCAGAATGAAAGTCGGAGAGAGTAATCTGTCTATTTTTTGGTTGGCTAATGTAATTTCCTTACATTTTAATTAATACAGTGAAATATACTGATAATGATTAATTTGAAATCTCTTTTCTTTTAAGAAAGAGACCCATACATGTTCTCTCCTTCTACTTCTACAGTGTATGTATCTGGTTAGAGTACTACTCATTACTGTCAACTAATTAGAAAAGGCTAGTTTAACAGTCCTATGTCCACTCAGTTATATATACTGTAATGTCAAAAGTCATTTACATATTCCAAGTTGTGATACTTTTATATGTGACAAAACAGTGCTAATTTGGGAATAATATAGATTATAATTTACACATATTCTAACCAACAGCTTAAAAAGATATCAAGAAGGTTATTCAAACAAATTGTAAGCAGTATCAACATCATATTTTAATAATAATATAGATGTATACAAATAAATTTGTTTACAATGACTGACAATATTCTCTCATATGCATACATATATGTATATATATATATATATTTATTATGAATGACTACAAACTGTCTAAAGAAAGGAATAGTATGAATCTCACTTTTTAAAAACACTAGATTAAGTAAAGCATTAAAGACACAGCTGAACAGACCCCTTTCATGGATTAAAAAATGGGCTATAAAATCACTGTTGCCTCTTTAATATACATATACATATATATATTTCAAATTATATGGGCAAGTACCATAGCTCATTATAATCCATACGCTTATATACAAACAACAAGGCCTGAACAGCTTAGGCTTATTAGAGAATACCAGAAATTTGTATCTTCTTGGTACTAAGAGTTTCATATTCCTGAGTAGAAAATCTTACCTTTCTGTGAGTAGACAATTTCTTTGCTTTTACTTCAACCAAAATTCTCATCTCCACTGTGAATACTGAAGGTTATTTGATGCATTTTGCTCTTGTTAAGAAACTGGATCAGATTGTATCTAACAAATATCACCAAGGGAATCGTCTTAAATATAATTCTTCCTTTTTGTTCACTTCTGAACAAAAATTAATTCTGTAATTTTTTTTTTTAATGTTTGGAAATGCATTAGACTAGCTTCAGAGGATCACTAGGTCTGTTGTATTGTATAATCTGGAATTTCACCAAACAGTTTCTTGAAGTGTTCTACATACATATCACAGTGTTCCCCTGGAAAACAAAACAAAAAATTATATTAGGATAAATCAATGGTAAATAAGATTATATTATATCAACAGAGACAGCGTTTTCAAAGGGACAGATTTTTCAAAGGTATAATATACAAAATATAAATATGTACTTTATAAAATATGGTAAGTATAACATACACAGCATAAAGCATCCAAAAACACAATTGCAATGAATACCTCTTCAACCTCTACAACTTTTGAGATATTTCTCAACCCTACCTTTGGCAAAAGCTGAACTTCCACGAAGTTTTGCATTCCGGAGCCCAAAGAAATTGAAAGTGGAATAGAAAACGTCTGAGTCACCGCAGATCATGGCAGCTTCAAGGAATTTCCGAGCTGACACTGTTTCCGCTAGGCCGACACTTCGGGCATATCTATTTGGTGAACAAGAATACAAAAAATAGCATATTTTATGTCTCAGGCACTTACAGTTCTAGCTGACTTAAAACTCTCTTAAGGAATCATATTCCAAAGAAGATAATGAATCTAACCCGAGGATATAAGCATATTTTATCTTAACATTGTATATGATTAAAAAAATACGTATATACATTCCTAGCTGTTCTTTCATGTGCACCATAAACTACAATAACAGTAACCAGACTTCACAATTCAGACAGGAAACATGACACTGACCTCAGAGCTGGAATAACCTGGTGTTGAGAGAGTAGGACTTCTATAATTTCATCATGAGCTGTGTTTAAGCGGCAAAGCATGTCAAGGCTGAGTTGTTTGCCAGCTGAGTAAACACTCACAAGAGACAAGAGTAAACAGGCCTGGAAATTGATAAAACTAACCTCAATGTTCAAAGAAAAATCTGAAATAACACTTTATTAAACAGTGTATACATAAGGTATTTATAAATGATATAGATCAGCAGAGGAAAGCACAGTAACAGTAGCTTAAATTACTAAAATCTTACAAAAAACATTCACATAGAAAATACTGATAATGTATCTCAAGCTATGAATTGTTAAATTCTGTTTGCATTTAATGAAATTTGAAGTGTCCTTGTACAAACATAAAGAAAAAAAATGAAAGAGTAATTTACACATGATCTATAAAACAGGTACACTAGCGGATTCTCTACACTAGGCAAATCTAGAAAATGGTCTTTCATAACCAAATGTTCAGCAAAAAAAACAAGAAAAAACTCTGAAACAAGACAAAAGGTGCAAGCTACATACCAGGGGCTTTGAATCAGCCAAAACATGATACTGAAGAAGTTGATGGAGCTGGTAAAATTGCCTGGATCTGACAAGTGCATTTATAACCAGTTCATAAAGGAAATGCTGCACAGTTACTCCTACCGCGCCCAGTGACCGGATGTACTCTATAACCACTCCTACAACCAGTTTTGAGGACACAGAGGGAGGGATGGCTCCTGCAAATAAACCCAAATACGTGGCATTATTTAAACTTTCAAGAATAAAATAAAACGCATGTGTCTATAACAAAATATATACTTAATCATAAATGAATATGTATCCCATTATCCATTATACCTCTCTATCTAATCTATCACACTAGACCACACACAAGTACCTACATCGTTATCTATCTATATTTACATTATCATACAATACATATCATATACATTACATACATACATACTCATAAATACTCATTACTCCATATACTACTACATAATCCATATACTCTTAATCATAAACACACCATCAACGACAACCCACCAATCTTAACATACATACTCACCTAACCAAACAACCAACGTAACCAAAACTATACTCTACATAATCTTCCAACTTTTATCTATATTTAATTCTCACTCTGATAGAAGTTCCCTATTCAACTCTGTTACCCTCTCTGTCCTCATCACTAACACCAACTCGCTATTGTCTAACTTATCCTCGTGTGTCCAATAAGAGAGAAATCGTGCACAACGGTTACGCGACATCAACATGAAAGTACACACAGCTGACATCATCTCAATGACCAACACAACGCTCTTGATTATATCATACCTGGTAAGCGCATAATGATGTGTATGTAAGCGATCGTAGTCACACCACTAGATTTCCGTGACTTCCCTATCTCTGGATCATGAATGCGTATAGGACCACTCACTCTATGTAGTGCTATTTTAAACTCAATGAGGCAGTGCGATTAGAAATTATGAAGTCACTAGATTTTATGGAAAATCATCAAACATTCCGTTAAATTTCAAAATAAGAGCAATCGTAAAGTCTGAAATCCAAAGAACACAGAACCATATTGAGAACGCGAAAGCCACTACTACTCACACACTAATTATAGACATCATATCTATATATATCCATATATAGATATACAACATCACATAAAGAAACTATTTAACATCATTAACAACTGTATGGATATGTTAAGCTGCCACTTCACTTAACAAATTCGAAGAAATGAAAATAAATGTAGAGATATAAAGAAGTTTCCCTCAAAAATGAAGAGATGATATCATCCTTATAACTCTGGAACTCAGACTGAGTAGGTCACTGCACATTAACGTCTTGTCTCGAATACGCGGCCGCATTATATTTATCAATTAAACTGCCTATTCTGCTAGCGCAAGTAGTTGCCAATTAGTCACCGCGCTTTAACCACCTGCTTGCAGTCTTCCCTCACAGTCTCGTGATTACATCTGCATAGTACTCTATGACAGTCTGTTAGACAAATTGACAACAACAAATATGCGATTAATAGAGTTCAATTAAAATTTCCACTTGTATCATGCATAGAAAATAGATCACATCTTCTAAATCCATAGTTATCTCGAACAATTGTAATAATAATTCAGATTGTAAAAACTCTTCATTAGTTTCACTTACAACTATCTAAAAAAAAAGCATCTGAATATTTCAGTTTAGATATACTATGTTTTTGCTATTATCCTGAAGGCAAATATTTCAAACCACATTAGTTGGGCCCCTGTACTCCTGCTTCCTCCTAGACAGTAACGAGTCAACCAACTGACTCTTACATTCTTCCACAATGACACCTCTCTTGCTTATGACCTCACGCAGGCTCTATAGTCCGAATTTTTGCTATAAGTCTGGTGCCAACATGCAGTTCGATCTTATGCAATATTCTACGCTCCATCGACACTTTCCCTACACATAGTCCATTGGCCTCGAAAGTTGCATTTTCATTAGTGATTGTAACTCGAGCAAGAAGGGTTATATATGGCAATTATGCTTGCATGGGTATGACCAATATAGAGCATGTTATTATCAGTGTTAGTTTATCAGACATAGCCAATAGTATCACAGAATCTAATCATCTATAAATTCCTAAGAATTAAGTTCATCATTTCATTTTACAATTTTTTTAAAATAAAACAAAACACACACCACACCTGATGAATATATAGAAAAAGTGAGTATTATCTTACCTGTACTTTAATTAATATTAACGCTTTGAAAAAATACATTCAACCAGGTATGAGGTGCAATAAGAAAGTCTTTTTCCTTAGCTTAGTTTAATAAGTGGTGTGCTGCTTTCTTTATCTATATCATACTATCAAGACATCCTAGCGACTCACCCCACACCCGACCAACCTTTATCGACGGGACCACACGCCACACTAGCGCTCTCTAGCACCACACACACTACGAGCACGGCAAGAATCCACACAACACCTGAACGAGGCCTAACTGTCACTCTACGAAGTCGCTAACAACTCGACAATCACCCACCATTCACACTCCACTATCCAAACCACTTACCGATTCAGCCCACATACCTCCAAACTCAACAGAAGCACGACGGTACTCAGCATTGTCAATTTTTGTGTACATTTCATATATTATATAATAAATTACTATAATACGTCAGCAAGCAGTTTTGTCCTGTAACTTTATGTGTACTATTGGTTCGTCAATTTCTAAACAATGTGAAAAAAAATGCACGGATAATGTAGTTAAAAATAATGATTAAACTTCTAAATGATAATATACTATCATGCTATTATATTTGGCAACATTTATCAGCGCAGCTGTGAAACTGAGCAAAACAAATTACCAAGAATCTGTCTGTGAAGATCTATTCGGCTGAGTGTATCAATGCCAACATAGCCGCCAATTCTGAGTATTATCCATATTATATTACCCCAAACTTCACTCCATGTGCTATCACAAGTGCGTATATTCATAATTTTATATTATATGTTATTATCTTATCCTTTCCTACATCTACCACCTCTATCATAAAAAATGGTGGATTCTTATAGCGAGATCTAAGCAAATCGAATATTCATGTCTCTATAGCAATCTTGGTGGTGATATTACGCTACTCTTAAGGAGCATGATTGGAGGGCAATGAACAATGATCAAAACTATCAACTAATGAGTGACTACGAGCAAATAGTCGCTTTCAACTCTCAAACGGCAGATGTGGCTTTCGTCTAATATCACCTCTCTATCAACTTGCGCAAATGTATATATGTACTACTCTCAGGTTGACTATGAACCACAACACACATTTTTTTTCAACAACTTACTAGTTGCTTTGACTCCTTCACATAATTCATAAGCGTGGATAAAGAAATAATTTGTATTCTAAACAATATTAAAAATACACTTCAGTAAATCACAATTAAATACAAAAACACCAATTACAAACTATATGGAGTATCAACATACTTATAGCGGACACTTGCACTATAATATAACTTCCAAGAGAATGTCATTCTAGCAATGTGTGGCATATTGAAGCTGATCACAGAGCATGACTGAGACACATACAGTACAGATAGGAAGGACATGCAGCTGCCCTTCCTCTTATTAAATGTACTCCTCTATCTACAGTATTACTCTCTCTTCCATCCCCTACCTGCTCTCTCATCATCTCCTCCGCTACTTGCGTCTCTTCCTTACTGCTCCTCACCTGCTTCCACTCTCCCATTCGTAACATACCAATGCTTATTCATTCTCTATCACTATACATCTATCTCTTCATATCCTCAGTTACATCTACTCTACTCTCATCACTCATGCATATCGTTCTATCTACCCTCATGCACGCGACCGCTCGCTATCCTCTCTTCTCTACATATCTGCATCGTCTAATTAACTCCAGCTAATTCTCCAAGTCACACCTAAGAACTTCTCTTACTCCCTTACTCTCCTCTTTCCCTTATTATACTATACTCTACACCCTCGTCCCTCTATTACGCCAATGTATACTGGTTCCTCTGTCTTCCATCACAAAATTTCAATGGCATCTATCCGTTGAGCTAGCAGTCACACTCTCGCGCCCAAACAATATCTCACACAATAACTCTTTCCCTTAACTCTCTTTCTGTCAATCCTAACCTTAACACACTACACACAAACACTACTCACTACGCACGTCTCAACCAGAACAAATCACTTAACTTCCCTCTTGAGCAGCACGTCATCAAAAATATAATGAACTATAATTTATGATAATTATGATATTTATGTATATATTATCTATATATTGATATGTCAATGTATATGTATCACTCATATGTATCTTGTATTGTATGGTAAATTAAACACATAACATACTCTCATATACCTCCCTCCCATCACTATACTCCCATCCTCTACTTACTCTTATTACTCTCTCATTATCACTATCCTCTTATACTTTCACTCACTACTATTCATTACTGCAGTTATCATTACTCTCTAGAAGCGCTCTACACTACCTCATATCATTTGCTTGCCTAACTTTCTGACTCTCACTTTGAACGTGAAAGTTGGTCTTGAGGTTCGGTTTGGTCGCGCCGCCCGAATACCACAGCAACAGATGCAAACACCTCAGTGCCCCATTACAAACCAGAGCATGGAATGTTGTAGCTTCCCCTGAGTGTGGCTCCGTAACCTTACGCAACTCCTCTTTCCGCTACCTGTGGAACTAGTCTAGAAAAAACACTTTCCGCTTGAACAAATCCCCTCATAATGTCCTCAACAACCAAGTCTTTGTAACACACAATGATACCAAACCCATGTGACACTAAGCAACATAACATAACAATTCTAACTCATCAAAAGCACATGCACCGAGAGATGAGACCAATAGACTCCGATGCCGACTCTTCTGATCTCTGAACGACTGAATCCTCTCTAGATCTCCTCTCGACGTACTCTCGACCCTTCGATCTCTCGATCTTGCTAGAGTAGCACGATGCATCCGACGAGCATGACTGACTCGATGACTCATGAACGAGCACTGCAATGACCAGCAACGATCCGCCCGCACTGAGACTGACGCTCTGCATATGACTCGATCGATGACGCACTGACTGCCTCGAGTGACTGGACGAGTACCTGAGAGAGAGGAAGATCTGACGTATGAACTATGTATAGCGTAGCGAGATAACGACTCGTATTGGCAGAGAAAGAACTGGAGACGAAGAAATCATGGAAGAGAAACGAGAGAGAGAGCTCTCAATCTTGTTTACTCTGATCTCGATACACTAATGCGAGAGTACTGAAATGCACTTTCTATCTGCTTCTATGTTTCACCTAGAGAGGAAGAAAACCTGGGCATCGAGATCCTGAGACTACGAGCTCCTTATACGATGAGCAATATGCAGAAGCACAAAACTCGTACTCTCTATCTTTGACCTAGAAGAGCTAAGAGAGTAGATTGGAGACAATAAAGACAGAGAGAAACGGAAGAAGATGAGAAAATTGCTACTGCGGTACTTTCCGAACTGAGAAACATGAAGAACTAAGAGATCGATGAGAAAGAGACGGAGAGCACAGATACGAGATTAATCGAGAGAGAAAGATGCGACGAGTACAATCAAACGAGTTTCTTCCTTTCCAGAGCAAAGAGAGCAGTAGATCAATCTCTTCTCTGATGAGCAGAGATAACTCTCTCCAATAGAGAGCACATCAATAAGACTCGAGAGATCTAACTAGAGCAGAGAAATGAGACGAGATAACTTATCGTAGCAGAAGACAAGATGACGATCGACGAAATCAATAAACGTACTGATTAGCATCCTCCTCGAGCAGCCTCTCAGAGAGAGCATGCTGAGCTAGCTCCAGACGATTTTACCCCCTGATGATAGAGGGCGCGGCTCTGGCTCCGCTCAGTGTGTCGAGATCGCATCAGAGAGATGAGATGAGAAGAGAGAGACGTCAGATAGAAGTGATCAGAATGACCGATTCGCAGATTTGACTGCATGAGAGATGACCTCGAGACGCCCATAGCACTTACGATGGACGATTGAGCAATCGATTTTCCTAGCCTCGAGAAGACCGACGACGCGACCTCCTCATCCGAGCGTCTCGGTACTGCATCGATCTGATCTCTCGACATCCGGCAGCCTCCTCTCTCCCCGACTCGAGAACTGACGAAGAGCGATGAGAGAAGAGAACGAGAGAGGGGAGTGGAAAGTGGGAATGAGAGAGAGAAGAAAGAGAAGAAAGCAAAAAGAGTGAGAAAAGAAATGACACAAGACGACGAGAGAGAGAGCAGAGAGACAGAGAGAGAGAGAGCAAGAGAAAGAGAGAGAGAGAGAGAGAGAGAGAGAGAGAGAGAGAGAGAGAGAGAGAGAGAGAGAGAGAGAAGAGAGAGGGAAGAGAAGAGAGGAGAGAGAGAGAGAGAGAGAGGAGAGAGAGAGAGAGAGAGAGAGAGAGAGAGGAGAGGAGAGG